CTCTCCATCCGGGACGTCGCTGGCAAGCTCAATGTCTCCCATACTACTGTGCAGCGGGCCTAGAAATGAGCTGGGTTGTCGACGATTAAGAAGGAGTTTACTAACAAAACACGTCGGCAAAGCAGCGGTCCCGAAAGCTGTATACGAATCTACCCACAAAGTTCGACTGTGTCGTCATGGACGACGAAACTTATGTCAAGCAGCTTTCGGGACAGGAGTTTTACACCACATCAGGAAAAGGGAAGGTGGCTGAAATTTTCAAAACCATCAAACTATCGAAGTTCCCGAATAATATCTCGTCTGACAGGCCCTATGCACGTGTGGTCTAAAACGCGGCATTTTCATTACCACGGGAACCATCAATTAAGAGATCTACGTCCAGGTGTGCCTGGAAAAGTGGCTGCTACCATTCCCAAAGCAACATAATAGAACTGTGCTGTTCTGGCCGGACTTGGCGAGCTGCCACTATGGGGAAAAGGCAATCGAGTGGTACGATGCGAACAACGTGGTTGTGGTACCCATAGACCACAACCATCTCAACAACCCAGAACCCCACCCTATCGAACGGTATTGGGCCGTGGTCAAAAGGAATCTCAAAAAATCTAATAAATCCATGGAAAACGAGCAACAGTTTAAATCTAACTGGCGTTCGGCGGCGAATAAGGTCGATGAGACCACTGTGCAAAATTTAATGGAAGGGGTTAAGAGGAAGGCACGGCAGTTCGGATTTGGCAACCCAAAATAATAAATGAACATTTTTTTCCTTTAAATATATGAATTGAACTACCAAAAGAAAAATAAGAAAATTTTTGTGATTTGAATTTTGACTGAAAGAAACGATTTTTTGTCGACCAATTTTTGCGCGGTCCAGCCTTTATCATATCAAATATTAAAAATCCATCATCACCATCATGGCGAACAAAAATAGTTTTTGCAGTCATTATGACAGCTATCCATACAAAATAATCCGTTAGAGATAACTTTGTCAAGATACATAATTTGCCAATTCATAAAAAAAAAACACTGCATTATTGTGCAAAAGACAGTTTTAACGTGTGAAATCCAGTGCCTTTTAACATGATATGTCTAGGTATCGAATTAAAACATTTATTCCTTTAAAATATAATGAATTTTGTGAAGCACAAGTCAAGGAATGTGGTGTTCTTATTTCAACTGCGTTTCTAGTATTATATCATCGAAAATCACTTCCTCTTTCAATTCAATCACACAAATATTGAGGCAGCAAACCATTAACTACTTTAAAAATGAACACCATAGACAAATATACAATTTTTTGCTTCACCATTGTAAGGCGCCTAGCATCAAGGTTGAGGAAGTGAATCTATTACATCTCAAAATCAAACGCCTTATTTTATTCTGCAAGCGCTGTAATCTCGATATTTGTGTTTCATTGGCCAACAACAAAATGGAAGGGCAAAAGTCTAGATGAGGAGAGACGATTGATTTGTATAGCTGTATTTTACTGGCAATAGTTAAATCGTTTTTCAGACGACATAGAATTCCATACTTCTTGGCAATTTTCTTGCTGACATTGTCAATGTGAGTGTTGAACTTAAGTGTGAACTCCCGAACGCGATCAATAGTCTCATCATCAATTACAACAGATTCGTTCTCATTTACTCGATTCCGCAAAATTACCATAAATTTAGTTTTACTTGTAATCAATTTCAACTGCTTTTACTTCAACCATCTACTTAGAGAACGCAAATCTTCATTCAAGTGTAAAACGGCATCATCTAAATCCTTAGCTGCAATGAATAACACAGTATCATCTGCAAAAAGATTAATGTCGCAAAATCGTAAAACACGCCACAGGTCATTAATATACATAATAAATAACAGGGGCCCTAATACACTTCCCTGGGGCACTCCAAGGTTATTCCCCACGGGACTGGAAACAGAATCGTTAAAAACAGTCCGTTGAGTTCTGTCAGACAAATAGCTTTCAACCCATTTATATGCAGTACTCGTAATTCCAAAGCGCTTGATTGATCGTTACATTAAGGGCCTAGACATTGTTTCAAAAGCGCGTTTTAGATCCAAAAACATCAACAATCGTATCTTTACGCTCCAAGTTATTTTTCCATTTCGCTGATTCAACGCGGTTTCACAAGAATGACCTTCCTGATATTCCGATTGTTCTGGTATCAACAAACTATTACTATTTAAATACTCCAACAGCTGGCCTTTAACAACAAGTTCTAAAATTTTCTCTAATGTGTGCAACATGTAATGGGACAAAACTCTTCGGCTTTAATCGTTCCAGCAAATTTTTGAATAGCGACCACTAAGGATTCCTTCCAAATTTGTGGCACATGTCCAGTTTGCAATGATTCATTAATAAGGTCCAGAAAGATGTGGCCAATGACATGAAAGCAATCTTGAATAACTCTAGCATTAACATTATCTACTCCAGCCGATTTTCCTAATGAAAAACAAATAACTCTAAGTTCATCTAATGTAATTGGGTGAAAAACTTCAAATCAAAAACTACTAGCTGTTTTATTTCGTCAGGTTCATCGACCAATTCAATGGACTGTTTGATCAATTAAACACTGTATGCAAAATAATCATTAAACTTAGCTGCAATTACTTGTTCTGACTGTTCTAACGTGCCATTTTTTTTTCCTATGTTCGGGACCAAACACTACTGCGACCAGTAAATTGATCTATTGTAGTCTATCCCGTGTCCTTAGTTTAGTGCATGTCGTATTACTCCATCACTATTGAGAAATGATGAAGTATTCGATTTTTTTACAGTTGCCACTCTTGCATTTATCGCAAGGATCCGACTCTAATTGAAAGGTCCCGCTATTTATACCCTTCGGAGTGTTGAAACACCCTCCAAAGGCGCGCCCCTTTGTCAGTCAAAATTGGATTCCTTAGCAACAAAATTAAGGTATGACACCGATAATGACCATGCATCAGAACCCTAGTCTTAACCACTTCAAACTCGGGAACAACGAATAGAAGATTAGGAATCACATAGATGAAGACAACTAACTCATTTTTTTCCCCTTGTTTCAAGATCATCCTCGATAGGACAGGAGTATCTGTCATCTCGGCTTGAACGTGGCAGAGACATTCATAGTTATAGGACAAGATCTGCTGATGATGTTAGAGTTGCGTCATTTTTGAAAGTATCCACGCAAAACTCACTGTTTTACAAGGGCGTTAAGCTGTACAACTCTTTACCTAGGGACCTACGAGAAGAAAATAGTGTTAACGTCTGTAAAAGAAAATGTGTGTCATTTGTGAAGGATAATATTATGTAGTGAAGCGTTGTAATGAGTGTATATGTGACATTTTTCAGTCATGGTGATGATGAAACCAAATATGACAGACATTGTATAACAGAAGCAACGTGATCTGGGGCGCAGTAAAGCTCTATATTGGTCTCAAAGTAGTTCCAGTACCCAGATGGGTTCCTGTTCTCAAAATTGGCAAAACATAATAAGGACAATGATGGACGTACATGAGAATAGAAAAATGCAAATGCATTGACTAAATTCAAATTGAAATTTGTTTTTACAATTCAAGAGCAAATTTTCATTACGTCGAATGTAACAAAGGTAAACAAAGTCGAGCTATCAGTGTCAATCGATTCTCCTGCTATTACACTATATACTGTCCGAATATAGGATCAAATCCCATTTTTAAATTTATTTACCAGTCAAATTGATTTTTGACGTAATCACCTTCCGATCAAAATAGTTTTCGATGTTACTTAAGTCACCCAATTTCTATGGAGATGCCGTTTGACTTAAGTAACAGCGCTGAGAAACCCGTGAAAAGTGTACGTTCGTCGTTTCGCTTTCTCATTATTAAAGTGAATAAATCGATCTGTTTGTTGCTAAGATGATTTCGGTGGTCCTAAAATGATGAATGGGCTGCACGTAAGGAGACGTAATTGATAATTCTCCCGAATATCCTGGTAAATACACTTTGACTTAAGTAACAATAGGGGCCACCAAATGACGTATAATAACTTTTGACTCCAAAACCAGTATTTTTTAGCATGAAAGCTAGCGATTTGCATTTGTATGATTAAAACCCTGCTAAATATGTTAAACATTGCTATCACTATGAGATTATATGTGTTTACTTGGAAATAGGAATAACTTTTCGGTCATCAAAACAAAACCTTATTTTTCTCGGATTGGTGCGAATGTTACTTACGACATAATGAAAATTTGCTCTTGAATTATCTTAATAGATAAATAAACCCAAACAAATTCCCGTGTACGGAGGTTAGTGGTGGGCCATCATCATAAAGGTGTTTAAAATACTGCGTAATGACATAGATGAGTGTTCAATTAGATTTGAAAATACTTCTTTTCATACTTTCATGCAACTGAAAAATACTATCGCAGTTAGGCCCTTATGATTCTGAGCCCAGTTGTCACCAAGGTTGGACCTGAAAACTACTGCCACCGTGGATGAAGATGACAATGTAGATTAAGAAAATACACATTTCTATTGGCTCTTTCCTTTATTTAACGTCGGTGCCAATCACCGACGGACATTGATTGCCATGCATTGACGGCAATCTAATGTGCAGGAAGGCAGCTTCCACACCTGCGTAGGATATCGCGCCCATTCAAACACAACACATGGGCCGAAGGAAGACGTGACCAGAGATTTTTAAGCCTCAGAAAAATCCCACCGACCTCGGCTGGGATTGAACTCAGACCGATTGGGGTGAAAAAGCAGTCACGCTTACCACTACACCACCGGCGCCGGTCATGTCTATTGGCATATTTGTTTACGACGTTGTTCTTGGCATTTTTTAAAATAATTTTCAGCTCTGACGGCATGTGGTATTCCACTACTGATGGGAAGATATATTTTCATCAAAGCGACAAGTATCTTCCTGGGTGAATCAAATGAATGTCCCTTCCACTGCATTCCACCATATATTTTCCACAACCAATTTGCTCACCTAGCTGATACATTCTTTCTTCCCTTCTAACCACCAGGTACTGGGCCGTAACTGACATCGACTATGCCCACCAGCGGACGGCCCGGCGGATAGGCTACATGATCATCGTCATCTGGACCCTGTCCGTGCTGGTCTCGATAGCGCCGCTGCTCGGGTGGAAAGACCCCGAGTGGGAAGCCCGAGTCTACCAGGACCTGCAGTGCATCGTTTCTCAGGACGTGGGCTACCAGATATTCGCCACCGCGTCCAGCTTCTACGTCCCGCTGCTGGTGATACTGTTCCTCTACTGGCGAATATTCCTGGCGGCCAGGAAACGGATACGGCGAAGGCAGCAGGTAATTTCCCCCTTGCTCCAGTCCTCGGTGTTCAAAGTCCGGGTTTTCTTTTTCGTCTTCTCGCAGAAACCAAACAAAAACCGCAAAATTTCGTTCTTTTTCATCGTAATTCTCGTTGTCTCTGTTTTCCGAATTCGATCGGTGAATAAAATGTTGTTTCCATTTGTTAACGTCACTTTCCAAAAGTTCACAAATCCCTCGTGTGTGGTTTATTTTTGTCATTCGTATTAGCGTTTACACGAGATTATCACTCTTCCACGACCAACCAAACCATTCAATCATTCAAACAACTCGCAGTGAAACTTTGTACTACACCACATCACTTTCCTTACCTTCTCATTTCTGCTTGGCATGCCACATTGAATACAAAGCTCATAATCTTTTTCTTAACATTCATATCCCCGCTAAAAACTTTCGAACAAATTTAATTCCACATCCCTTCGATTTCCCACCATCAAAACTCCAGACAACCCTGAGTCACGAAAAAAAAAATATCAAAAGTCAATGAAACTGAAACATTTCGCCCCCAACGTTGTGGATGTAACTAACTTTTACACCGAGCAATGAATGGGCGAAAAAGTTTCCATTGCCTTTTGTCCTTCAATCCCTACATTTCCCAAAAACTGAGCTAAAGTTTTTCGCTAGTTTTTCCACCACTCCTGGTACCTTTCAATTGCCATAACACGGAACTGCCGCCACCACCCTTTACCGCCATACCGTTCCAATGATGCACAGTGGGTTACGCATAGGTTATTGGAGCTTTGCAATTTTCAGTCTTCAATAGGATATAGAAATTCGTGCACATCTAAATATATCTGAGCAGTTTGAAGCTGAATAATTTTCGCACATTCTCCAAAAGTTTCTAAGTTCGGAATATCATGATAACCCTGTACTGTCGAGCCCAGCGACAATCCTGTGGGCAGATTTGGAGTAGATTCAATGTTATAATAAGAGTCCCGGCAAGAGTGAAGCTAGAAGTACCAATCGAGCTGTCAAGCGAGGTACCAAACAAGCAAAGTAAATAAACATTATTGTTCCCACAGCCAGTGAACTACAAGCATAGAGCTTTTTGACGTTTAATCGGCGCACACTACTGCACCATTTAAATCGATCGAGTGCGAGTAAGAGGGAAACAGATTAGTGGGAAAACAAACCGTCCATTCATCCATGTGTGATAGATAGAAAAAGACGATTAAACGTCAAAAAGGTCTATTGCGTTCATTACTGAAAATATTTTAGTAGTTTTAGATGAAAAACATTTCTTCGCTTTATTTAGTACATTGTGGTATTTATAAGGTATACCAAGCACTTGTTTGAACATTTTCCAGGTTCAATAATTGTTTTTGTCTCCCAGAAGCTCCGTTATCGACATGAAATTTTTCACTTCTGAATGAAAGTCATCCGATGCTAACGCAAAAATCTGGTTTCCTTTTACTCTGACGAAAATTGAATCACAAACAGTGCTGCTTGTTCGCAACATTTTCTCTTGGCGGGACTCTTATTATAACATCGACTCTAATTTGGAGAGCTACGGTAACGGTCGCTGTCAGAAATGACAGGCGTCAGATTTGGTTCAGAGGAACTGTGAGTTAAGATAGGTGAGAGAAAAACCAAAAAGAAGGTACGAAGTGTATTGCATGAATGTATTACTATACTAAAGACTGTGCTCGAAAAAAAATGCAACAGACAAAAATTATCACCGAAAATTCATTTTATGTCGGATATTTTTTTAAACTCTCAGGGAATAAATAAACACATTAGGGAAATGGATGTTTTTGGGATCGTATCTGTTTACAGTTCAAAGCAAAGTGAAATATTTGCCAATTGCGTTTTTCACGCAGGTGAAATATGTAGTATTTTGTATGAGATTTTCGTTTTGCTTCGATCTCTATACAGACCTTTAAAGCCTAGTATCCAGTTTAAAGAGAAGTGAAATTTGAAGCAAGTGAAACGTTTTGAGAAGAGCGTATCTGCCAGATTTTCACTTCACCGGAGGTGTAAGCTGATCGATTTAGTTTCACGTTAACTGTGAACTGTGAACTGTGAAAAGAGGTAAACATCGAACCAGGTACGGAAATAAGTGTGGATTTATCTCCCTCGGAAAACAAGAAAAACCTGGAAAAGACGGAATCATGTCAGAACCGACCAAGGACGATCAACGGAAGGATATTGCCGGTGAAGTGCGGAATGAAATACGAAGCGTTAGTGAAAAAGCACAAGGGATTCCAAAAGAAGCAATCAATGGCGGCAGACCAGCGGAACATGGTTAGACCGAGCCTATTATTACTATTTATAAATCATAAATATATAAATATATCTGGTGGAAAATGGAAAAAGGAAAAAGGCACCAATCTAAAGAAACTTTAGGGAAATTTCAGTTCCAAAGTGTTCTGAGAAAAAAAAAAGTTTCAAAATATTACGAGAAGAATTTCAAAGATATTGAATTCTTAAGACAGGTCTAGAATATTTCTGAGAGAATTCCAAAAAAATTCTACGGATAATTTCTAGTGCATCCTGCGGATAGTTTCAAGATAATTTCGAACAAAATACCGAAAAAATAAAATTTTGAGTGAAGTTCCAAAGGAATTTTAAACAAAATTTCAAGCGAATTCCGAGGATAATTTCTAGCTCATTCCGGGAAAAAAATTCTGAAACTCTAAAGAAATTTGAGTTCCAAGGTGTTTTGAGAAAAAATCATGAATAGATCTAAGCATAATTTCAGTGGACTTCAAAAGAGCTCTTAGGAGAGTTCTAAAAAAATCCGTGAGGAACCTCAAGGATATTGAATTCTGAGGACAGTTCCAAAGGATTTCTTGGGGAGTATTTCAAGAAAACTCTGCGAATAATTTCTAGTGAATCCTGCAGATGGTTCCAACATAATTTTGAAAAGAAAACCGAGAAGATTAAATTTTGAGTGAAATTCTAAAGGGATTTTGAGGAAAATTTCAAGAGAGTACCGATAATTTCTAGCTCATGCCGAGAATAATTTCTGGATAATACTGAGGAAATTCTTCTGAACCTCCAAGGGAATTTAAGTTCCAAGGTGTTCTGAGTAAAAGTCAAGAAGGGTTCTAAAAATAATTCCAGAGAACTTCTTAGAAGAATTTCAAAAAAGCTCATAGAGTTCTAAAAATTTTGAAAAGAACCTCATGGAATTCTGAGGATGGACTTTTTTGCAACTGTACAAAGTCTAAAGACAGCTTTAGCAAGCTCTACAAGAAACTCGACGCATCCCGCCAAGGCTTTGTGCCGCAAGCCGAAATGTGTCGGGATAAGGAAGGGGGTATCTTAACGGACGAACGTGAGGTGATTGAAAGGTGGAAGCAGCACTACGATGAACATCTGAACGGCGCAGCGGCGGAGGACCAAGGCGGCAGGAGGGGGACATGCCAGCTCCCACGATAGGTGAAGTTAAGGATGCTATCCGACAGCTTAAGAACAACAAAGCAGCTGGGAAAGATGGTATCGGCGCGGAACTTATCAAAATGGGCCCGGATAAGTTGGCCACTTGTCTGCACCGACTGATAGTCAGGATCTGGGATACAGAACAGCTACCGGAGGAGTGGAGAAAGGGATTAATATGCCCAGTATATAAAAAGGCGACAAACTAGAATGTGAGAACTATCGAGCGATCACGATTCTTAACGCTGCCTACAAAGTGCTTTCCCAGATCATCTTTCGCCGTTTATCACCGCTAGCAAGCAGCTTTGTGGGAAGTTATCAAGACGGACGATCAACAACGGACCAAATCTTCACGTTGCGGCAGATTCTCAAAAAGTGTCGTGAATATCAAGTCCCTATGGACCAGAAGCTGACCAGACTGATCAGGGCTACGATGGATGGTGTACAGTGCTGCGTGAAGATATCGGGTGCGTTATCGGACTCGTTTGAAACTCGCAAAGGACTTCGACAAGGCGATGGTCTTTCCTGCCTACTGTTCAACATTGCGCTAGAAGGTGTTATGAAACGTGCGGGCTTTATCATGCGGGGCACGATCTTCAATAAGTCCATCCAGTTCATCTGCTTCTCTGACGACGTGGACATTGTCGGAAGAACGTTTCAGGCCGTGGCGGAGCAGTACACCAGGCTGAAACGTGAAGCAGAGAAGGTTGGATTAAAGGTGAATACGTCGAAGACAAAGTATCTGTTAGCTGGAGGAACCGAACGGGATGGGGCTCGCATAGGCAGAAGCGTGACAATCGACGGAGATGAGTTCGAGGTGGTGGATGAATTTGTGTACCTCGGATCTTTGGTGACGTCGGATAACAACTGCAGCAGAGAAATTCGTCGGCGCTTACTACGGACTCCACAAGACCCTGAGGTTGGGTTAACTTCACCTCCGTACTAAATGTACCATGTACAAGACGCGCTGATAAGACCGGTTGTTCTCTACGGGCACGAGACGTGGACGATGCTCGAGGAGGACCTGCAAGCACTGGGTGTTTTCGAACGACGAGTGCTTAGGACCATCTTTGGCGGGGTATGTGAGAACGGTGTATGGAGGCGAAGGATGAACCACGAGCTGGCGCAACTCTATGGCGAACCCTGTATCCAGAAAGTTGCGAAAGCTGAACGGGTACAATGGGTGGGACACGTTGTAAGAATGCCGGACAACAATCCCGCAAAAATGGTGTTTGCCTCGAGTCCGGCCGGTACAAGACGAAGAGGAGCACAGCGAGCAAGGTGGTTAGACCAAGTGGAGCAGGATCTTGGAAGTGTGGGACGGTCAAGAAATTGGAGACAAGCAGCCACGGACCGAGTAAATTGGCGTAACATTGTGATGCAGGTGCAATCCTGAGGGATTTCGGACCAGGATAAGTAAGTAAAGTGATGATTTTGCTAACACTGGCCCTTACTTAACATCTTGACTAGATAGAAGATTCCCGTCTTCGGCAAACATGTTCAGATGAACAAGACCCATTTTATGGTTAACATTTCAACTCAGAACTTACTCATCAGTTCTCACTGTTGCTTCACGTTGTTTCAAGTTGTTTGGTTCC